TTGGAAAGATACCCTAGCAATCAGGTTATTGAAATTAACTAAAGAAAAAAAATCTGCTTAAGTGCAGTTACTAGAGGACTAGTAATTTGTAGGTAAAAGTTACTTTTGGGCTATTTAAATTAAAAGTTTGAGATTAAAAAGAAAAAGTACTAGTAGACTTAAAGAGGAGTACCAGAGTTTGGGCGAACTCTTCAAGAGCAAAGAGTAAGTAATAGTAGCAGAACTAAAAAGTTACAAGTTCTAATCTTCATATTAAAGTATAAGTTACTAAAAATCTGAATAATATATATATAAAATATAAACTATTCTGGTAGGTTTACTATAAAGATAAAATTATTATAAGGGATTATAGCAAGTTTGCTAAGAGAAAATAATTCTGATAATATCAAGTTGATCAAAAAGTTTAAATAAAAGTTTCATAAGCAGATCTTAGATATAGTATTTGGCAAGTAACTATAAATAAAAATAGATATAGCAGAATCCTTAATTAGACAATAACTAAAGTTTTATATATGACCAATTGTACTCTTATTGATATAACAATATCTAATATAGCTATGGCCAGTATTGTCATACAGACATGAACAGGATATAGATACGAACTAGACTAGATGTTTGTATCCATATCCAAAAATATAGCAGATATTGGACATTGTCTGTAAGATTGACCAATCAAATACATCCAGGCTGCTTGGACATTGTCCAATATCTGCTATAATTTTATTGGGCTATCCAATTTTTTTTTATATATCAATATTTTTTTTTACACAAATTTTTTAATTTATAGCAAAAATAAATTGGCACCATTGCATTGCTGAAACCTTTATTTTTCTTGCTAGATTTGTCTAAGTTATATTCAGGATCTGATAAGTTTTTCTTTTTTTTCTAGAGTTATTTTCCAAATCATTAACTTCTTTCTTTGCTTCTTTCCTCTGCTAAATTCGTTAAGCCGGTAACAATGTGAGTAAGTAGGTAAAATTTTTTGTTCAGGACGTTCAGGATTTGGTAAGTTTTTTTTTCTCTTTAGATTTTTATTCTAGTTCACTAACTTATATCTTTGCTCTTCTTTTTTGGTAAATTTATTTAAGCTGGTAGCGAGTAGTGAATTTTTAATTTAGGATGTTAAGAATCTGGTAAGTTTTTTTTTTTTTTTTCTTTTTTAGGTTCACTAACTTCTATCCTTGCTCTTTTTTTGTGATAAATTTGTTCAAGCTAGTAGCAAATAGATTTTTGTTTAGGATATTCAGAATCTAGTAAGTTTCTTTTTTTGATTTTTTTTTCTAGTTTTCTTCTAGTTTACTAACTTCTATCTTTGTTCTTCTTTCTTGCAGAATTTGTTCAACCTGGTATCAAGTGGGTAAATGGGTGGGTTTTTTTCTCTTAAGATATTCAAGTTCTGGTAAGTGTTTTTTTCTTTTTTTTTTTTTTTATTAGTTTTTTTTCTGGTCTATCCTTGCTCTTCTCTCATGAAATATTTGTTTAAAGTAGTAGCAAGTTACAGATTTTTCGTTAAGAATGTTCAGGATTTGGTAAGTTTTTCTTTTGCATTTTTTTCTTCTGAGGTTTTTTTCAGTTTACTAACTTCTACTTTACTCTTTTTGCTAAAATTGTTCAAGCCAGCAGCAAATAGATAAGTGAAAATTTTTTTGTTTAGGTCTGATAAGTTTTTCGATTTTTTTTTTCTTCTGTGATTTTCTTCCAGTTTATTAACTTCTTTCTTTTTCTTAATAAATTTGTTTAAGTACTGTGGAGAGTGAGAACCATGTTTTTCAGAAGTCATATTGTATAAGAATGCAGTTACCTGACGATAAATATAAGCGAGAGACCGATAGCAAACAAATATTATGAAGGAAAACTGAAAAAAACTTCGTTAAATAGTATATGAATGAGGTCATATTATTGTTAATATGATTTTGTGATATTATAATAAACATTTCATAAGACAAAATTTTGGGGTTTTGTCACTATAGCATAATAGACTTCTTTTTTTTTTGTTTTAATAATATAGTATATAATATAATATATGTATAATTAGCTCTATAAAATAAACTTTTTATTCATTATTAATGATAAGTGAATATTTCGATTGACCAATCAACAGCTTGAATATTAGACAATATCTGCTATCTATCACAAATTTGCAGACAGTGTTCAACAGTATTGGTATATGACCAGATTATGTGCCAACACTGGTATCTAATATGTGTGAATATGTAAGTGGATATAGATATAGTCTGGCAGATATAGATATCTTATCCAAACAAATAACACAAATACTGTCTATATACAATACTGGCTATAACTATATTAATATTTAAACCTAAGAATAAATAAAGTATATCTGATCCCAAAGTAGTACCTTAATATTAAACAAAAAAAATTTTTAAATACTAGAGAATTTATAAAATAATACTTAAAAAATAAATAAACAGTTTTTTTGTTGTTAAATAAGTCTAAAAAGCAAAATTTGCCTAAATTTTATATATGAAATTTAGATATATTGATTATTTAGCTCTATATTAAAAATTTTATATATTGTATATTATATAACTAATATAATTAATAAAATATTTTTCAAAGATATCATACAATTCACTAAGCTAATTTTGATGATTTAACTACTATTAAATTTGTCTTAATAAGCTTTACAACTTTATTTAGAGATTTAAAGATAATTAACTTAATATATATATATATTTTTTTTTAGTATTAAGGTGAGGTCTTGCCTCGTATCTTTATTAGATATGTCAAGTATTTGCTTTATATAGCTACATATAATCTTAAGAATACTGGCTTAGACAATTTTATCTATGACCTAAACCTACCAGAATATGCTACATTCCTACTACGTATTGGGTTATATCTGGATTTGATGTTCAAACTATATCTAGTTACCTACCACATTCACCCTATGTCTCACCATCAAACCTTGGTAACTCCCAAATTGGTTCATTCAGGTAATTGGTCCTTAATGGTCTTTCAATTTGGTATGTCTGTTATTTGAAGTATTTTCTAAACTGGTATACTCTTTCTAATAGGTAGCCTCTCATCCACATTTCTTAAGCCAGATACCTGCTGCCGCTGCTAGTCTTACATGAGAAGCATTGGTATCATATATTGGAAAGGGGACTTATCATGGGTTTGTACTGCTCAGTTTCTGCTAGCTTGCATTTCTTCATGCAACTTATGTTATATGAATACTCCAAACCTCCCAATTGTATCTCCAAGTATACTAGCCTCGTATCTCAAGCCAGGTTCTTGCTGTCACTACTCGGTTCGCTGTTCTCAGGTCTTAGCGTTTTCTAAATTATCTGATGCAGTATACTTCTTACTACCCTTTAAATACTCCCTTATATGGTATTCATCAAGACTATAGTTCATAAAGACCCCTTAAGTTGCATAGCAACTACAAGGCTATATACTTCTAGCTATTAGCTATTTTCGTAATTCTGCTTTAATAACCTATCTTGTTAAAGACCAGTTTAACACCACGAAATTATTTAAGTGGCAAGCTAAATCACTTCTAGCTAGATATTTCTAGTTGGTGTCACATTAATATTGGTAAATCTTAACTCTTTTTTGTCATAGACTTTTATATAGGTATGACCAGAGCTCCAAATTAGTACCTTTAGACATACAGGGGTTGGTTGTATTCTCTATACCGAGTAGCCTTCTATAGTCATTCCACTAATACCAGAAGTGCTTCCAATTCCAGTTAAGATATGATCCTTTACCATAGCCCATAGTTGTGTATCAACACTTCTCTTACTACTCCAGTTTTGGTAGTATAGTATCACCTTTCCAAGCAAGTACCTAATGCTATTCTATATTAGAACTTATGCGTATGATTCATTGATCATCTTTCTAAGCAAATACTTCACAAGTTGGGTGTAGGGATATTGGTATTGCCAAATATAGTTGTGATAGGATGTTGATATTGTTTCTGAGTTACCCCAACCAGAGGACTTACACGCATGATCTTCTACTGCCTAGACTTTCTGTGATGCCGCTATTACACGTAATGTCTTCACTCCACAATCTGGTCTCCTTCCGAAAACTTCTTATTCTAGTTTCATATTGCACTTAGACTTTCTACAAAGCTTTGCATCTGATTATGGCCTCTGTAGGTTACAGAAACAAATTTTTAATTTGCTTCCAGCCCGACCTTGTCTGTGGGGGTTTGGGAGCTTAACCAATAAACTATGTGACCTAAACCCCTTAATTAACTTAATATAAAAAAAGATTTTTTTGAATAATTACTATATTTTTTTAAAAAATTATTATATTTTTTATCTATAAGATTTATATATAAAATCATATTATATTATATTATACTCTTTTTTTTTGTTTCATTTAAACAGATCACATTAATATCTTTTATTTAATCAAACTATACTCTATAAAGAATATAAAAATTAAAACTAAGATCTGATATCCTGTGATTATTTTATATTATCTAACTAATTATCTATACATATTTACAGGTGATCTACTATATTAGAGAAATATAATCAATTAAGATAATAGCCCTTGAGAGCTCATTTAACCATTGTTTTACAATAAGATATCACCAATTTGATGATATCTACTTATAGAAAAGTGAAAGAAAAAGAAAAAGTTTTATAAATAAAATACAAAGGTATAGAGAAATATATAAAAAAAATAATCAAAAAGTAAAAAGAGGTAAAAGAGTTACAAAAAAACTAAAATAACAAACAATTACAATTATAAGCCTGTATCAGGCTTCATAAAAATTATATATTATTTAAACTATTTTCTATACTAGTTTATATAATTAATATACCTAAATAAAACTATCAAATTGGTTTAGACCACAGATAAATTAGTCTGAATTTCTTTTCTTACTATCTTAGAATATAAAATTTAAATAGATTCTTTTTTTTGTAAAGATTTTCTTTTCATTGTAGAAGAATTAAATTAAATTTTAATAAAGTTAGAGACATGGTCTCATCATTAATATTCAAAAAAAAAAATAAAATAAAAACTATTAAATAGAAAAAAATTCTTCAATATTAGCACTGCAAAAAGATCAGAAAATTATACTAATAGTCTCAAAGTATTAATTGTCTAGTTGCTATATTTAAAGCATATAATTATAGATTCATATTTCATATATATCTACATGTTTGTTATAATATGTAATAAATAAATAATACTGTCTAATTTGGTAAATAAACAATATATCAATCTTTTGAAGGGAGTAAGCTAAATTAGCCACTTTTTTACAAAATTATTTACAAAAAAAAGTAGGAATTAACAAGAATATATAAAGTTTTTTTGTAAGTTTTATAGTCATATAGTTACCATATATTTTTGAAAATAAGCTACATCCAAAAGAAGCTACCTTCCTTTTTTGAAAGAAAATCATAAAATCCTCTTATACCCGAAAATAAGCTACTATACGATTGCCAGTAGTTATCCTATAGTAAAGTCGGAATTTTACTAAGTAAATTGATATAGCTTATTAAGTAAAAGTTGTTCAGGAGATCAAAATACATATATTCTGAAAGTTTTATGCAAATCGGATAACCTTTATTAATACATTTTTGCATGTTACGTTCAATGAATTTTTTAAAAATTCTTTAATATTTCTTTGAAATTCATATTCGTTAAACGTAAAAATCGAAAGTCAATTAATAAAAAGTTATCTGATTTACTTGAAATTTTCAGAATGTGTGTATTTTGTTCTGAACAAACTTTACTTAATACACATCATCGGTTGTCTTAATAAGATTTTTCGGAATTGCATAAAAACCAATTATATCCAAAAATAAACTACTACTGGTTTTTTGTATTCAAAATCGTTCAAAAAAGGGTAGCTTATTTTCAGAAATATACAGTAATTCTTCAAGATTATACTATCTTAGCAAGGGCCATTTTACTACTTGCTTCTAAAATAAACCTTCTAGTTTAGATGTCAAATATCCTAAGAAGTTTATCAAGTAAAAGTTTAATTCTAAGAAAAACTATTTAAGTTATATCTGCTTTTTGGTATTTTATATTTTTCAAGCTTTGTTAACAACAACCTGTTCAGAAATAAGTTTAGTTTTCAGAATAGATCTTCTAGTTTGGATGCCAAATATTTTAAAGAATCTACTGATTACAGAAAGCTTGACTTCAAGAAAATTAGTTTTAGTATAGATAAATCTAATTTATTAATTAATAATTTTTTAGTAATTAAAAAATAATTATAGTATAATATAATACAGTTCTATATATAAATTCTATAGATGAGAGTGTGGTAACTTAGTGAAATGGTTAAGTTGTCACACCTCCAAGCGGTATATTAGCCAGGTAGGAGTTCGAAACCTACTGGTGACAAATTTTGAATATTTTATTTGTAAGACAGCTACTGTTTTTCAACGATTAGTTAGAACAGGATCTCTGTAACCTTGGTGGTATTAACAAAATTAGGAGATCATAGGCACTTGTGCAATGTATGAGTTACACAAATATATTCTCAGATCATATTAATTCAAGGAACCAGAAAGATGGATGTTTGCTTGGCAAGACCTGAGTAGAAAGATAACACGGATCTTTGATGGTACTATGTAAAAGATTATTACTAGAGAACCGGCTAAAACTGAACGAGACCGGTGTATAGCAAGGCACTTTATCAACCAGGCCACTGAAACTGAGTCTATTGAAACCAGAAGAAAAGGACCTGCTTAGTTGCAGATACTAGAGAAAAAAATCTCTTCTGGGCCATCTGGATTGGTAGTTTGGGATAGTTAGAGATATGGTTAATAGTCTGTAAAG